ACGAGACGATCAGAATGTTATGGGACGGAACCGCTGACCACCTAACCAACGTTTGGGTAGCAAAGACCCTGTAAAGTGCATTAAAGTACCAAGTGTTATGTGTACAATGTTCTACCCATTCAAATTCCAAATGTGGGGATCATCTACCTGAAGCAGTCCTGAAAGGCACTCTGATTCCCTGAGCCAAAAATAAGCAAAACTTTGCAAAACGAAGACCCCCCCTTACGGCCCTTGAGCCCTAATCTGGAAGATCAATCCTGATCGGCAATCGGGTAGTGTAGGATCCATAAGAAAAACGGTGGACTCTGACTCTGAGTGCGATCATTTTGAACACAACCACGTTGAAAGCACATGAGAAGCAGAGTTCGGTTATGTCCTCATTGGAGGATGTTGGAGGCAAGGCTAAATGATCTCGCTCGCCAGATCGAAAGGAATGGTCATTGGCCATTGGCCATTTTTACTTTAGCACTCAAGGGATCTTTGATCTATATACTTGAATCATCAACTCACCATTCAACACCAATGGCCCACCGGTTCTGGTTCTTGGGAGTAGTATGATGAGCTGCTCAACCTGGAAAACTCATCCAAATATAGGGCACAACAGTCCAAGTCTAAGTTTGCTTCTCTGAGACAGTCCCTGCAGCCTCTCATCCATATCTAAACCATACTAAACCCACCACATCCTTCTCAGATTGAAACGGCAGCGATAGTCTTCAACTCCAACAGGCGTGCCAACACGTCACTTTCCCCTCTGTTCGTCACTCATCTGAAGCCCCCCCTCAGCCACAGTCGCTTCTTCAACCTCCAACACTTCAACTGTGCTCGGCGCACGCCCCGCTGCGGCGTTCGCCCAGGCGCTGTTCGGTGCCGTTGAGAGTTCACCAATGCGGGAGACGTTGGCAATCGCTTTGGGCGTGATCATCCTGAACCGACGGTCCGATTCTAGTCTACGCAAATGCCAAGTAAATGACAGGGATGACTGGATGACTCACAGCTTTCAGACGATCCGGAACTGAAACTAGCACCGATCCGTGCATGACTCAAACCTGTCGCGCACGAATCAGCTCAAGCTCAAACCTGAGAACTCTGTCGAAAGTTTTTGGTGAAAATAACCTCCAACTTTTCAGCATGGCAGTCCCAACGCATTCTTCATCTTCCAGCCCTACCTTCCTGCGAAGAAAGGCTCAAATGAACGGTTCACGGTAATTACGGCCCTGAAAATGTCTTCAGGTTTCCTCCCCATGTCTTTCCTCGCGGGTGTTCGAAACTGCAGTCTTCTCGTGATGCCCCGTGCCCGGCTTTCGTTTCGAGCTTTCTGCCCGCGAAGCGTCCCAAACCTCGGTCTCTCCTGTCCTGAAGTCAACAGGATCGCTGTCCTGCAGCCTAGACCGGGAGTCACCAACAGGGTGCGGTGACGAACGACGAAGGAGACACCGCGGAGACACCGAGGAGCGAGGAAAGAAGCGGGGCTCCCACCCCAGGACGGTGAGGACGGTGGGACCCAGTACAGCTACGTAAAGTCAGTAACCAATTTTCAGGTCTTTCGCTATATCGAGATCACGTCTTGAAAGTAAGTCCCCTCTTTTGCTCTGAAACAGGCAAGCACCCTGTGAGCTTCGGAGTGTGCCAAGTTCTCATTTCTGGTTATGCAATGCAAGAAGTGTACCAAGTTTATACCCTCTGACCAGAGCCAAGGCATTGGAGGGTTTGCGGAACACTTGATAGAACTACACTTTCTATAGAATGGGATGTCCAACCTCGGCTCTCTATAAATGACCGTGCCACGTAAATCCATAAATGATGTGACCAACCCTAAGCAACAAAACACACCTGGCAAGTGGATCTTATGAAACGACCAGATCAAGTTCTGTGGTGTATAAAGCTGGAAGTTTACCTTTTTAATGAAACCGCAATCCATCTGAACTGAACAAGTATAAAGCCAGAAGAGGCTAGGACTAGGACTATAAAATGACATTCCAAAGAAGAAGGCAAAATGCCGAGGCGGCCGTATAAAATGACTCAAACGAAGCAGCGCATGCTTTTTCCATTTGTTTCCAAATCTCATCTGTTCCGGTCCGTTGCTTGTTGGTTTCAGCAATCTCTAAGTGGAAAGGAATTGCTCCACCCGAAAGCAATTTAGTGCCAGATTCGCCACAATGTGGCCATACTTTCTAGATTGTTTATGATACTACAAGTTGATTGCTGAAAAGAAGAGCAACCATCAGAGGCGCTTTTGTCTTTTGTCACTTCACCAACATGATCAGCTTCTCTATAAAATTGCATTCCAGATGTCTTATCTATGACCCAGGCTGACCTTTTTGAACATGACCACTCTACAAAATGCCATGCTCAGGCTTTAAGCCATGTTTCTCGAGGGTACCCTCACCATAGAATGGGTCATGAATGGCATTTTGTAGATGTCAAGGGTTCCCAATTTGTAGAGATCCATGCACCGGGTATCCCAGTAGGACTGACGGATTTACTTAGTTTCTTACCGCTTTCGAGATCAGAATTTCATTGATACAGGAGGCAACCTAGAAACAACATATGACCGCGTTCCTCCGTGGACTATTTCTTGTTGTTCTGACGAAACTGGCCTCTAAGTAGTCAAAGGCCGGAATGGTGAAAGTCTCGTGCAACAAACATAGGCAAGTGTGAGCGGTTTGTGCAGCTTTCTCCAGCGATCGTCAGTTCCTTCGGAGAAAATGCTACACCTTCTTGGGGGGGAGCCCGGCAACAAGAGAATTATGTCAAGCATCACAGCGGGCCAAAACCCAGGTGGGTGCCATCATGTGCCATCAGCAGGGATACAGTAGATAGGTATTGATTGATTTATGCAACTTATGTGTATATATATATACACATAGTTACAAACTATTTCAAACTTATGTTGCATCATGTTTATGATGCCCAAAAGGGTGTTCCTGGAACGAATGCATTTAGATGTCAGAAACCACACATAATCTGCTGACACTCCAACAAATGAATGCGCTAATATTTGATTTGATTATGGGTTCTTTGGACAAGCACACTGTGTGTCCAAAATGTTTCTGTCACATGGAAAGCAAATCTCTTTTGCAGGATTTGCATGGATTTGCTACCCAACTCCCTGCAGCAAAGGCACATGGATATACATGGATGCGCAGATTCCTGCCGCCCGGCTGGGTCTACATCGATTTTAAACGATGATCTGAAGCCAAAATGGCAAAAGAGAATGACATATCACAATCAGCAAGCCTGGCCAAAGCAACGTCGCGATTCCGGTCCGGTTCGCCCCTCTAAGCCACACATCTGTGGAATCGTCCACACCGATTCAGTAAGCCTTGGGAACCCATGCTCGCCCGAGGGACACCGACAGACAAGATGAACGGATGAAATACGGTGAACAGGTGGAAGAGACAGTTCTACGTCTTCGTATACGTCCAAAGTGAGGCGAGGTTGACACACCTTCCAAGGCGAGAAACGCATACACATGTCAAGACATGTCAACTCATCACAGGTCAAAACCTAGTCATCTTGCGATTTCCAGTCACCCGACGACACGATGTGCCTGGTCGGGGGAGCCCAACTATCTGCTCAACAATCTGGTCAAACCTGAAAATTGTTTCTATATATTTTGGGGGACCTCTGTAGAAGTTATAGGAGCCCGCCTTGTCCAATTGGACGTGTTTGGAACCTATGGCTCAAACTAGCCGTTCCCAGATCGGAAGAAGAGCCATCGATATCTTGGAGAATGGCTCTTTACATGAATTTACATGTGTGTGTGCCCATACATTATATATACAGTATATGCTTAAGGCTTCAGATATAGTTATATAAATATAGTAATACTCCCTTTCCGTCGATTTCAACCCCCTTTTCGTCGTCCGAGCGTTCGAGGACGTGTGGTGAGGGTGCGAGCTGGGCTCAAAAGGTGCCTGAAGACCGCTCCCTTTGACCACCGCGCTTTTGTGGATTGCAGCGGAGCCCAAGGGCTGGTGATCTTCTGCTGGCGTGTTCTCTTTCAGTGAACTAATATGTGGACGATCCAAAGACTTGGGAACGTGAACACACGTGAAGACCTCGCAGAACAAACGCCTTGTCTTTGTTTTGGATCCTAAAGATCGATCAATGGGGTGGAAACGGTGCACAGTTCTCGAACGTCTGTTAGGCCCAAGGGGTGACATCTCTTTTTGATCGGTGGAAGTACAGTCATTAGCATGGCTGTACGGGTCAAGGGGTGCTTAATCTTCTGCGCAGAGAATATGACCCAGAAAAGAGGACGCGCATTTGGCTTCCCACGTGAGGACCCGATTCCAACAGGTTCAGACAGAACTGGATTACAGTGATCTCATGATCCAAAAAACATTGAAAACAGAAATGGACAAGTTTATCTCATGATCCCCCGTGGCTCCTCTGGGTGCCGCTCTGGGTACCGAGGGTACGCCGAAACTGGAGCTTCGCACGCTTGCGTCCGGTCGATGGACTGCTCGGATGGGCTGACCATCTGTCGGTCAAAAGTAATTTCAAAACACAACCTGTCGGTCTTTCGTTGAGCAAAGCGCTGGAGAACTGCGGAGAACTCAGATTGGTCGATGTGAACCAAAATGGTGCAGGTCAGGTCAAAGGACCTGTTTTCTAAAACATGCTCAGGCAATGGTGCTGATGCAAACGCTTGCACCACGCATCCAACAACATCTGCGGAGAAACCCGCCGATCCCGGAAACCCCAAAGATCTGGAAGGTGCGCTTACAAACGGGATAAGGACAGGTACGACTAAAGTCCTGACCACGCTTACAAGCCACATGTGGCCGTCTCATAAACCTCCATGTGTTGTGACCTTGCCTGGCAAACACATGCCCTTTTTTTTTAACTGGAATATCTGTGCTCCTAGCTGTCTTTCGTAGGCGTTGTTCTCTGGGATTCGCCCCTTTGATCCAAATGTTAACAACACCATAGAACACCATCAACACATATCAACACCAATATCTTAGGCTTGAATCTTTTTGAGAGGTTCTTGGCTATTGGCTAGCCTGAATCTTCAATCAATCTCTGAAGCTCCATTCTCACGAATTGGGCTTCTCATTCCACTCCTGCCAGCAGCTTTCCAAACAATGGAGCGCTGTTTGGTTGGTCGCCTTGATTGGTCGCACCACGTTGGTCCAGTTTTTAATACCAAGGGCCTTTGGTATTGACCGAGTCGAAAAGAAACACTGCTTAATGCTTGAAGGTTCCGCATCTGCAACCCCATTCTGCACTTGAAACGGGTCGAACAAAAACTCATCTCGTTCTCCGATGCAAAGGAAAACTCATGAAGCTCCATAGGTTAGTGAGCAACGGTGGAGGTGTTTTTTCAATTGATTAAGACGATCAAATCTAAAAAGTGAACCACTGAAGGCAGGAAATACAGTAGAAAGAAAGTGTCATAAGAAAGTGACATTCTGAAGAGGAGTCTAGCTAGCTCTGCAGCGTGGCTAGCTCTGCAGCGTGTGTGTCCTCTCAAAAGCAGGGGTTCCGCCTAAGTTTCGTCATAGGTGAATTGATTCGTCATAGGTGAATTGATAACCTGACGCTTCCTGCAAGAAAATGTGTCAACAATAGTTTGCAGCTTGCAAAGTCTCTCAGGCCTCCATCCACAAGACATTGGCTTCAAACACTTCAAGCATGTCAGAATGTGTACATATACATATAAGTAAACAAGTTGAACACTCTTATTAACTGTGTAAATAAACCAACTGAAAAAAGTAAAGCTACATAAAGCTATACAATATACATCATATTCACAGTATATCATTATATAACTCTCACATATTTTTGCAATTATTTATATATATCATATAATACAAACCAACTCTTCTGGGCCACCTCTGAAGGAAACCGAGTTGCTCCATGTTGCTCCCGTTTCTGGCCAGACCACAACCCTGAATTCAAAGTTTTGAAGCCCACATTTGCACCCTTCAGTTCCTCAGAGTCCATCCTTCAGTTCCTCTCACCCCGCCCACTCTCCTGCGCTGCGATCGCCTCTCCTGAGGGGCCTTCGATCACGTCGCACGGCGGGCCTGGTGGACCAAGACGACGCCAAGGCCGGGACCCATCGGTCGTATCTAGGGAATCACGCGGCTTTTTTCCAACAGCAAGGGCCGGAAATCTGCTCATGTCCCACAGGATGCCAGGACTGTGAAAGAAACACAATGATGGATCGGATTATGGGATTAATTACGCTTTTTGATGCAAAACCTGATGCCATCGATGCCCATCCCAAATATATTCCCTGTACTGGAGTGGTCATTATTTATTCATGAGTGGGATGCTATGGCTTTGGCTTTGAGACTTCAGGGCCGCTTCAGAAGTCCCGCGACAGTCCCGTCGCGAAGAGACCTGACTTATGGGGCATCGCCGCCCAGAAGAAAGTTGATGGCCTGGCCGAGAAAAAGCCAACTGAGTGCCCCTGTGGAAAGGCGAAAAGCTCATATAAGACTAACTGACTAACTAAATAACAATCTAAACGCAAAACTGCATGGTCCAATACTCCAAGCAGTGCAGGGGAACATCTGAAAGAGGTTAAGAACCTGCTAAACACAATCATCAGACTACTAGATGCTTGGCATTGCTGCAATAATGCCATCTGGCCCACCGTGGAATTGAATATGGCAGGAATCACCCAGCGCCCGGAGTCGCAAGAGCTCATCTCTTTCCCAGGTGCTCTCTATCATGATGAATCGTGATTGAATTATCTAAACACGAGTCGAGTACTTCCTTTAGATATGTCTTAACCTCAACCAGTTCCTGTTTCCCGCCTGGTTCACATCCCCATTGGCCATTTGCAGGGCCTCGCCCGGAGGATCAGGTTCGAAGAAATGGGATCGGTGCAGTCCTGGGGCCTTTATGGGGTCTATGAACCTCTTCCATGGTTCATAGACCAAATGAGGTTGGTGATCTGAATCTGGGCTCAATGGGGGTTGTGAATCTATAAACTTTAGACTGATCTCTCTCTCTCTCTCTCCCTCCGTCTCTATCTCCACTGCATGAGTTGTAAATGTTGGAAGGCCAAAGATTTCTGTAAAGAGTGAGCGAATTGGATTGGCCGAACTTCCGGTGGAGGCTCGGAGTGGGCAAAGCTGCCTGGAGACGAGCGGACACGTGCTTCGGCTTAGGCAACGCGAAGCCGAGCTGATCGGAGTTTGTTTTGAAGACATCCTGAATCCTTCAGTCCTTGTCGGTCCCCAACCCACACGCGAGTTCGCGACACACATGGCACACATGGCCTGGATATTCGAGGGTCGGTCTGGAAAGCCCATACCCGCCAGCTGTTCTAGCCTAGGACTGCGAGCACGTGTGGCGCAAAAACGTGGAGGGGTCGTGGTCAAGTCCTTTTAAAAAGGTCTAAACAGGTGATGCGGTGCGCGTAGATCCCCCTGCCGGAACGCCGTGTCCAAGTTGTGAAGTGTTCATTGTGCTGTGGATGGTTCCTTGTCTGGATTTTCACCTCCCCACCTACCCATCTTCCACGGCTTGAGCCGATGAGAAGTCAGCTCCCCTGGCAACATTCTGATTATGAGGTCACTTTGTGAGGGGGCTGCTTGCAGAGGTCGTCGCTTTGCTAGGATGCTGCTTCATGGTTCGACTGTGCGAGAGGCACAATCCAGCTTTAACATGTTTCAATAGTTCCAACATGTCATGATTCTCAACACTTTTCGACACAATATTTGGGGCATTTTGGGGCTGCAGGAAGACTACAAATGCGCTGTACAGAGCTCTACGTGAGATGTAGTTGCTCGGTGAGCGCGCACTGCAGAGTCGTGCTCGGCACATGGTAATGGGTGCATCATCTCATCAGCCGGGAAATTTGAAGTAGCTGGGCTGTAACTTGCTTCATGTCCATGAACTGTTCGGACGGCACTGTATCAAATCGAGCCTCACATAGCATCACATGGGGAGCAGAAGTAATTATTCCAAAAAGCTCCTCCGCAAGAGAAGACTGTGGTGCCCGTATCCACCTAAGCATTCTCTCTTCGCAGATATCCTGGACTCCGCTCAAATTCGGGTGCTTCTCCTTCATCAAACATGAAGTCTTCGGGTGCATCAAACATGAAGTCTCCGTAATAGGTTGCCAGACCCCAGGACTTCTGCGACTGCACGTCGCACCCGACCCTCTGAGCGAGCACGCTGCGTGGCGAACCTCTCTTCCGCCGGCCTGGTGCTGTCGCAGGGACCGGAGGAGTCCACCAGGACCCGGTCCTGGTGGAGTTCACGGGCAAAAGAAGCTGTTTCTAGAGTCTTCCAGTGCTCCTACTGTAATTTTGGAGGTCTATGATTGTCATATTTCGAGGGAGGGCCCCTTGTCAACTGAAAAGCAACGGAACCTGCAATGCGGGATCCGTCTTCGGCAAGAATCAGAAAGGGTTTTGTTATCTGGATGAGTTTCATGGTTGAGGTCGGCTTTCCTGCTACAGGATTCTGGAAACACAGGGCGCGTCAGTATCATTCACATCCAACGGATGGTACTTTGGAGGGACGGAAGAGTTCCCAGAAAAAGTGGTTCAAACATGTTGAGAGAGATTGCGGACTCCGGGAAGCTGCTTTTGGCTCTTCCGGGACTGACAAGCGAACAAAGAAGCACCCAGACCAGCAGTTCACCTGCCATCTGCAGCACCACCCAGACCGGGCATACCTGGCAATGAGGGAAAAGATCGGTCCAACCACCTCAGAAATTCACTTGAAGCATTAGTTCCAATTTTAAAAATGCTGCCCACGATAAATCCCTGCAAAAACATCCGCCCGCACCGAAGGTGAGGGGTGTTATTGGGGGTATCATGAGGTGGAGGTGGGAGAAAGCATGGGAAGACAAAATGGTTTTCACAGATCATCTATGTCTGAATATGTTCTCATTATCGTAGCTTTTTATCTTTTGATCCATGAAAGGCAAACAAACGACTCCTCAGTGTATGTCTGAATAAATGTTTCATGAATGCATCATATGATATGCATCAGCTGGTTGCAACTGTATCTGTTGTTATGGTATCATATGCATCAACTAGTTGCAGTTGAAAAACTTTACTGCGCAAAATGTGTGCTAGCTAATGGACTCTGGGCCAACTGAAAAATTATGTAATTTCAAGGGTGTCATAAAATCTCCAACAGTGGTTGGAAATTGTAAGAAAGACAGAACCAACCCATTTGTAAAATGGTCAACAAATAGAGTGGTTACAAAGCCTTCTTTTATATACTTTCCTCTTCTCATGCTGCGTTCATCTCTAAGTCATCTCTAAGTCTTGTCTCGATCATGCACATTGTATAGTTTTTGTAGGTCATCACTCCATAATTCGACACGATTGTAAATTTACAATTTCAAGGTGGTCGAAAAAACATATCCAACAATGCTTGGAAATTGTAAGAAAGGTATAGCTAAACAACTTGTAGAAAGGTCCAGGTTACACAGACTTCCTTTACTTTATTCATCCACGTCATTCTGCGCTCATCTCTAAGTTGTTGCATCGATCATGCGCATTGTATGCTTCGTTGTATGGTTCATCCGCTTCTTCTATTGTTCGACCCTCGCCGTCGGCATCAACCGCACCTCCAGCTCCGCCCATGCCACCCATGCCGCCCATGCCGCCCATGCCGCCCATGCCACCCATCATGGCCTGTCAATGCTTTCCCACGCATCTTGCTACGATTAGCAAACCACAACCTCCCAGGAACATGAAATGATAGGACCCTGCGTTCAGTCCAATTTTGAGAGTTGGCGGAGGAGTAGCTCAACACAAACATCTCAAACGTCTACTGTCTAGGTATGAGGTTGATCCAAGCCGATGCTGAAGGTAAAGGTGGCATTCCAGATCCGTATGACCATCCCACCTGCCTCTCACATGAGCTCGTAGCAAGGTGAGCTCATAAAGACTATTATACACACTGTATCTATATATAATAAGTCTTAAGTAGCATGAGGCATTCCTGCTCACACCGAAACCGTTGATTCATGGATTCGCTGAGTGTGCTGCAGCATGCTGCAGCAAAGGGGAGGTCTTCGTGCGTTCCATTTCTTGGCACCATCAACCAACCGAAACCGCCTGCATTGCAGCCTGCATCATGGCCGGATCAATCCTTAGATCTTCGCAAAACATTCTGCCGTGCAGCCGCAAAGCCACTGACCCATTCTGGGAGCAATGCAAGCCGCTCAGTGCAAAAAAAGAAAACCCTCAAAAAAATTGTGAAGTCACACAGTCACGCCTCTACAAAGACTCTCTCCAGTCTCTCCAGTCCGTGTCTCCAGAATTCCTAGCCAACCCCAACTCAGCGTCGTACCCCGCCCCAGGCATTCCAGGTGCCGGCGTGGCACCCGGCGTCGCCCCGGGTGTGGCGCCTGGTGTCACGCCCGGCGCGCCGGCCGCTGGACCGGTGGTGCCCGGCGTGGCGCCCGGCGTGGCACCCGGCGTGGCGCCCGGCGTGGCGCCCGGCGTGGCGCCGGGGAGGGCGCCCATGCCGCCAAGGCCACCGGCACCACCCATGGCCTGCTGCATCTGAAGGAGTCCCTGGAGTGGCAATCGAAGATCCAGAAAAGGAGAGATGCATCTGGTACAATGTGGTAACATAAACCTTCTGAGCACCAACTGACAAACATCAATGGTTTATGCTACTCAGTATGCTACAGTAACATCAATGATCGTTTGCTCCACCGTTGGACCTGCAGCATCTGCGGATTGAGCATCGTCCGCATGAGCTGCCAGCGTGGCCGGTAGTCTCATCTCACAATCACTAAGCCTTTGGAGGCAAACCTGTCGCTAAGCTAGGAAACAAAAAGTTGCCACAAGTCTCGGTCATTGGAACCCTTTTGAACCAAAGTTTTTCAAGGATGGACCGAACAAAAATATGCTTTCAACATGCTTTCACGCATCGCTCTCTCACCCACCTCTGGATTGGTCATCATCTGGCAGGGTGCACATGTGTGTGTCTGAAAGTTCTTGGCTGCTGCCGTTGCCACAAGATCACTTCAAACCCTCAGACCTGGAGGCTCATGAGCTCGGACAGTTGATCGACTAAAACCAAGGTTCTGCTGTCGCCGAAAGAAAGCCTCCTATTGCTGCGTCGACCATTCAGCGTGACCCCTCCCGCAAACTCACCTAACCGAGCTTAACCGAGCTTAACCGAGCTTCCTACGTGCCTGGTCCACCTTCCCCTGCATATTTGGCGAGGGAGAAAAAATGCCGTTCTTACCAAGCAGACTCGTGCTAAGTAGGGAGTGAGGGAATGAACCACCCCTGTAGGCCCCTCTGGATCCATTCCCATATTCCCTACTAAGCACCAGTCAGCAAGGATGGGGATAGTCTGCCACATCACATCTGCCTCCCCTCCCACGTCGCCTGTGCCATCATGGGATCGCGCTGTGACATTTGCTGGCGGGCGGGCGACGGGACATACACTCAGGGAAACGGGAACCACTAAATTCTCCATGTGTCGTTCATCATTCCTTGACTCCTCAAACTGACTTCAACTGTGGCAAAGTCTGAGTCCTAATCATGGTCCAATCATGTTTCTGCCTTCGAACACCCGTGCCAAATCAGGGAATCAAAACGTCCAAAAAGCGGCATGTTTTGATTGGTGTTGGAAAGGTCAGCTCTGAACGTCAGTCTGACACTCCGATGAACCCACACTCCGACACTCCGATGAACTCATGATGCACAGTTGCAACCACTGTTCCGCACTCAAAAATATCTGAAACGAAATCTCTACAGTTCATGTGATTGGACCAAATGTTGCACAAGTTGTCAGCAATCTTGCTGTTTCATAGATCCCCAATTGAGCCCCACCTGCAACATGGGATTGTTCTGAATCATCTGCTGCATGAGCTGCGGGTTGGACGCCTGTGTGACACAGGCTCAAGGGCATTGATTGAAGTAGGTCATGCTCCATTATATAGCTCTAAGGGTTTCACATGGGGCAGGTCACATTAATCTAATTGTGCCCCAAAAGACATCAAATTGGACACAGGAGTTGGCGGGAGGTATGGTGAGTGCAAAGCAACTCTTATTGACCGTCAAGAGCCAATGAAATTCACAATCATGCCTGAAAGATCCTGAAAAGAATCCGACCAAACTCATGCAAAATCCTGCAATCCTGAAGGCAATCATCAAAACCAAACTGGTTGGTACCCAGACCGACCTCCATCGCGAGATTCGGCCAAGGGGCCAATTGTTGCATCATGTTTTGCACCATGGGGTTCTGCAGCATTGTTTGGACCTCAGCCAACATGGTTCGAAACTGAAGGCTTGGATATCCTTCCTGTCGCCTTGGTTGAAACAAAGCGAGGTGAGAAAAAACACGACGTAGATAATGTATTGTATATGTTAAGTAATCTGCTGTTTTTAGGCCTGCAATTACAATGTCTAC